GGACGGCCCCCTCCCCGTTGCTGGCTGCTGCTGTGCTGCTCTCAGAAGACTCGGACTCCTCCTCCTCCTCCTCCCCCTCCTCCTGCTGCTTTGGTTCCTCTGCCTCAGCCACCACCACCTCAGGGGCCTCCAGGACCTCATCCGCTGGGGAGCTGAAGAGGGCTGCAGGGGCAGGGACTGGCTCCAGCGGCCGCGGGGACGGTGCGAAGGGCTGAGGCTTGATGGCCAGGGCATAGTTGTGCTCCAGGAGGATGTGGCTGAGCAGAGGGCCCAGGCGGTCTGACTCGTCCGATGTCTCTGTGGCCTCTGAGTCATCGCCAACAGGCAAGGCAGCCAACCCACGTCGGGCTGGGGTCAGGGCCAGGTTGGCCAGCACCGCCAGGTCCACTTCTGTCCCTGGCTCAGCCTCCTCTTCCTCGGTAGAGCGGCCTCGGCCTGCAGCCCGGCTCCGACCTCCTCGGGACACCTCCTCGGGCCAACTCTTGACCAGAGATGCATGGTCCAGGGGCAAATTGCGAATGGTCCGCTCCACGCCCCGGTGGGCTTTGCGGGAGATGGGGCCAGGAGCCTTGACCTGCTGTGGGGCAGCTGGGGAAGGTTCTGGGGCTGGCACTTCCTCCACAGCAGAGAAGGAGACGGTTTTCCGGCGTTTCTTGGGTGGGGGCAAGAGGGGGATCGGAGAGGAGGGGCGCTCGTCGGGGCAGGGAGCAGGGGCTGGGGGCCCAGCCGGGGGCTCTGGGGGAGGCTGGGGCACACGGGGTGCTGGTTCCTCAAGGGCACCTAGGGAAGGAAGCGCAGGGCAGGGAGAGGGTCAGCTTCTTGGCCCAACATCATGAGACTGAGATTCGTCAGGAGCTTGAGGCTGGCCGGCCTCACCAGGGAGTCCACACCCCACTGCCCTTCAGCAGGCCGCACTCACGCTCCCCTCGGCTGCCAGCAGACACGCCCGCGCTCAGGGACCACGCTGCCGGCGTCTCGCCTGCACGGCCAGGCGGGATTCTACACCTGTCACTCACACATCCCACACGCCCTGAGCACCACCTGTGTCAGGTATGGAGCGCACCTGCAGCAGACACTTGCACAGCACTCGGAGGTTAAGTGCGACGGACACAATGACATGAAACAATGCACAGCCAAACTGTGAGGGGTGGGGTGGGTGGGGCTCGGCGGCGAACACTCGGACTCTAGGCTCTTTACCAGACTGGTGCTGGCAGGACTACATCCGACAAGCAGGCCCACAGGCCCAGACGATTTTTGCCAGCTGCATTTACGAGGATACAATGAGCCAGGTCTGAATTAAAGTACCCATCATTTCAACCACAGATAGTGTTCTCTGCTTAGTGAGGTGGAAAAGGTACAATATAAGAAGCTGAATCTTTGTGGTAAAATAGTTTATAAAATTTGCCTTCCTGCCGAAACCGGTGTGGCTCAGTGGATAGAGCATCGGCCTGCGGACTGAAAGGTCCCAGGTTCGTGTCCGGTCAAGGGCATGTACCTGGGTTGCGGGCACATCCCCAGTAGATGTGCAGGAGGCAGCTGATCGATGTTTCTCTCTCATCGATGTTTCTAACTCTCTCTCTCTCTCCCTTCCTCTCTGTAAAAAATCAATAAAATATATATTTAAAATAAAATAAAATAAAAGCAATAAGGGAACATTTTAAAAAAATATTTTGCCTTCCTCCCACTTTCCCCCAAACATCGCTGGGGGTTCGCCCAAGTGAGGAGGGGCCAGGAAGTGCCCCCAGAGAAGCTGAAGGTAACGCTGAGATCCAAGGGTGCGGGGCAGTCAGGGAGGGACAGGATCCTTGAAAAGGCCATGCTGTCTCCCCAACAACCGCACAGGAGGAGCACACCCTCCCTCTGCTGCTCACCCCCCACACCCCCTACAAAGTCTGCTGCCGAACGCAGGGGTCTCAACACTGCTCCACACACAGCCTTTCCTGGGCAGCCCGTCTTGCCGATCTGACCCATTAGACAATCCTCAGGCCAGTTCACGCTTTGCCCTCTCATCCAGGTTCCACCACCCAGCACGGCCTTTCCGACCTCTGGCCCTTTGCTTACAGGTCCCTTCGTTTGGAATGCCTCTCCCCTTGCCTGTTGGGAAAGCCCAGCTCAATGCCACCTCCTCTGTGAAGGCTCCCCTGACTTCCTCAAACATGGGTAACACCTTCCTCTCAGAACCAGAAGACTGGTGGTTCCCCATGGTCTGTCCTCTGGTTGGCTGCAATGGATGAATAGCTCATATTTGATGCCAAGTACTAACCCAAGCCCTTTAGATAGATCAACCCTAGGGAATGGATACTGTCGTTGACCCCATTTGACAGAAAAGGACACTGAGGCCGAGAGGTTAGTAACATGTCGAGGTCACACAGCCAGCAAATGCCAGAGTAAGACCTACCCCCCGGCAGGCAGAGCTGAGTTTGTCCTCTTCCCCACGGCCCTACGCTGACCTGGACGCTCTGCACTGGGACTCAGTGGTTTCACATCGAGCCCCACCACTCAGAGCTAAAGGGCAGCCGGCACCAGGCCCGGCCTGGCCAGGCAGTTATCACACGTGTCCAACGCCTGAACAGATGTTCCCCAATCTGGCAGCCTCAGCAAAGCCCTCAGCCTGAACGGCCCCAGGCTCTGGACACCGCCTGGTGTCCACTCTGAAGCTAGCGAGGCCCTGGGGTGCTCGTCCCAGGCTCTCCAGGTGGAGCCCTCTCATCACTTCTCTCCAGCGTTTGGGACAGCCTCCCCGCCGGCCCCTCCTCTGGGAGCCTGGCTCTGACGGAGAAGAAAGGCCCTTCCCCACTCAGCTTCTGCACACGGTTTCCGGGCCACGCCTTCCATTTAGGGAGAGAGCTTTTGGGGCACCTTCCTCGTGGACACAACTCCCAGAAGCCAGTTTCCACTGCATGACAGACCCTCACTAACTGATGGCTACCCGACCCAAGCCAGCCCGACCAGAAACCTCCCTGAGAGTAAGGCGCTAGGGCGGGCGTGGGTGTGTCTGCGGGGCGGGGAAGTCCATCTGCAGAAGGATGAGCAGACTGGAAGACAGGAGAAAAGCAGGTCCTGGAGGCAGCAGGTCCGTCTCCGGGCTCCACCAGACAAACCCTGGCCCAGGCTCCTGCCATCGGACCGCACAGTCCTCTAATCAGCGTGCCCTGGCGCCTTGCATTTCCCTATCATTTCCTAAAAACTACGGGATCTGCCTTCTCCTCTCCCACCCTTGCCATCTATTTCCGGAACTCTGACATCCCACCTACTTTCCCAATTTCACATCTCCAGCAACCTCCTTCCCCCTCAGCTGCCCTCCAGTCACACACCCGACTTTGTCACCTTCTAGAATAGCTCCACCTTGAAACTTACACTCCTTACCCTCTGACCACATTCCCCAGGTCCTTTCACCCTGAACCTTTTCTTGTTGTTTTTGTTAATCCTCACCACTGAAGGTATTTTTTCCATTGCTCTTCAGAGAGTGGAAGGGAGGGTGGGGGGAGAGTGAGAGAGAGGGAGAGAAACATCGATTGAGAGAGACTACATCAATTGATTGCCTCCCACATGCATCCCAACCCTGAGCAAGGATCAAACCTGCAACCCAGGTACGTGCCCTTGACCAGGAATCAAACCCGAGACCCTTTGGTGAGGGGTGACACTAACCACTGAACAACACTGGCCAGGGCCCACTGGACCTTTTCAATGTCCCATCCTTCTACCTCCCTCCAGCCTATCGCCCTCCTGCTAAGTTAGCTTCTTTCTTTCTCAGGCCCTAATTGCAGGGGCCCTCACTTTTTCCTCTCCTTTCACAGAACTTCCTACATCCTTCTACCACCTCTACCCTGTAGACCCCCAATCCTGAATCTACCCCACCCAGCCCTCTCTCCTCCCTGACCCATAACCCCCAGCCTCAGCAGGGCTTCTGCGTGGGCAAATCCAGTCAGCTTTCATCCTCACTCCCACTCTCTTCTCTTCCCAAGGCTCCTACTCCACCCAGCCCCTAAGCCTCAGAAAATGTCCTACTTTCCTACTGCAAAGTGAAAAAGGAGCCTTCAGGCATGAAACCCCACATCTCCTTACCTCCTATTTACAGATAGATTAGCCTCAGACCTAGAGTACCCCGCTCCCCCCCATGCTAATCCAGCAAGCATTCCTCTCTCCCCTGGTTCATCTACCTGCTCCCTGTTCCCTTCAGTGTATGAACATGCTCAAGTTCACCTACTTTGTAAAGCTAACTCTCCACAACCCTGCTGCCTGCTGTCTGTCCAATCCCAGCTGGGTAACTTGAGTATCTCACTAAACCTTGAAGCCCTCATGTGTAAACTGGGAATGAGAATGTTGTGAGGATTGCCCTAGCTGATTTGGGTCAGTGGATAGAACACTGGCCTGTGGACCAAAGGGTCCCGGGTTCAACTCTGGTCAAGGGAACGTACACAGGCTTTAGGCTCCTCCCCAGCCTGGGCCCTGGCCGGGGCACATGCAGGAGGCAACCGCTCAATGTGGTTCTTTCACATCAGTGTTTCTCTCTGTCTCCCCTTCTTTCTGCCACTCTCTCAGCAAATCAATGGGAAAAATATCCTCTGGTGAGGATTAAAAATAAAATAATTAAAAAAAAAAAAAAAGCCCTAGCTGGTTTGGCTCAGTGGATAGAGTGTAGGCCTGCGGACTGAAGGGTCCCGGGTTCAATTCTGGTCACGGGCACATGCCTGGGTTTTGGGCTCCATCCCCAGTAAGGGATGTGCAGGAGGCAGCCGATTAATGATTCTCTCTCATCATTGATGTTTCTCTCTCTCCTTCTCCCTTCCTCTCTGAAATAAATAAAGATATATTAAAAAAGAATGTTATGAAAATTGAATGAGAAAATAAAATTGCAATGTGCCAGGCTCATTACTCAATAAATGCTACTATGATTACAACCCTCAACTCTCTTTTTGTTCACAAGACTAGGCTACCCTCCAGAAGATTGGTTATCTCTATCGCCTGTCCTCACTGCCATAACTTGGCTCCAGTCTGACCCACTCTATGAAATTGATAAGGTCACCAGTGACCTAACTGCCAAATCCAACAGACACCTTTCCTATCTTACAGACTCTCGTGTGACCTGCTGATACAAGCCACTCCCTCCTTCAGAAACTCCAAGCTTCCCACTTTCCTTCCCGCCCATCTGATCTGATCACTCCTGTTCAGCCTCTGCTGGCTCCCCTTTGCCCACCTGTCTCTCTCTCTCTTTTTCTTCTTATTTTTTATCTAAAAAATATATTTTATTGATTTTTTACAGAGAGGAAAGGAAAGGGATAGAGAGGTAGAAACACTGATGAGAAACATCGATCAGCTGCCTCCTGCACACCCCCTACTGGGGATGTGCCCGCAACCAAGGTACACACCCTTGACCGGAATCGAACCTGGGACTCTTCAGTCCCCAGGCCGACGCTCTATCCACTGAGCCAAACCGGTTAGGGCGCCCACCTGTCTCTTATAAGACTATAAGGCTCTGGCCCCCTTCTCTCATCCCAAACATCCTCTAGGGCAGCGGTCGCCAACCGGTGATCCACAGACCACTGGTGGTCCATGAGGTCCGAAAGGTTGGCAACCGCTGGTTTAAGGAAACCTTTGGAGCAGCGGTCGCCAACTGGTGGTCCGTGAGGTCCGAAAGGTTGGCGACGGCTGTTCTAGGGCACACATATTTTCACATCCATACTTTCACTACTCTCAAATACCTACCTCACCCCCAGCCTACTGCTCTTTCTTCAGCTCTACTGACCCAACCCCCTGTTGAATGTAGTCGCTCTCATCACCTACCGGCAGGCCTTGCTGGAGACTTCTCCTGTTCGGGGCGCAGTGTGACGGGGGAGCCTGCGGTCCTCTCTGGCTTGGGTTCCTCCACAGGTGCTGGCAGGGGCACAGGGACGTCTCTAGGTGGCGGTGACACTGAGGAGATGGTTGCTGGCTGCTCTTCTTCCTCTTCTTCTTCAGAGGACTCAGATGAGGATGACGAGGAGGAGGATGAGGAGGAAGATGAGGAAGACGAGGAGCTGGACGAGCTGCCACTCTCTGAGTCCGAGGTGCTATCATTTTCACCATCTGAGTCGGCATACAGAGAACATTTGGAGGACGAATCGCTTCCCTCGTCCTCGCCTGGAAATCCAGAAGGGGCAATCAGGCGAGATGGGAAGATCCCTCACTTGGCTCAGTCACTGACTCACTACTGTGGATGTGCTGGGCTCTGTGCTAGGTGCTGGGAAGCCCCCGCCTCAAGGAGCTGGGTAAGCAAAAATTCGTTCAGAGTGTGGTAAGCTCAGTGGGAAGGGCTGGGGAGCTTGGCAAAGGGAAACCCTGATTTCTGCCTGGAGGGTCAAGGCAAGGAAGGCATCCCTGTGAAGGAGATGCCGAAGTCAGAAGGACAAGCAGGATTCACCAACCAGACGCGGGGCTAAGCAGGGATGTCAAAGGTTAAGAGAAGATGGGGCACCGAGAGCTGGTGAGCAGTCCTCTCAAACTACCGAAGCTTTTCCCACAGAGGTTCTTATAGACACTCCCTGGGCAACAGACTGAATGGATTCCAGGGTAGAATCAGCTTAGGGCTGTTACATGCTTTGTAATTCTAGGATATGACAATACATGGTCGGGCTCTAAGACACTAAGAATTTTGCAGTCTTTGAGGAACATAATTGGGTAAACTAGAACAGAAGGTGCTGGTGCCCAGGGAGGGTCTGGAAAATGGCCCCGAACAGATAAGCAAGGGCTGGGTTATAAGTGGCCTCAGTGTCAGGCTGAGGAGTCGCCTGTGGAACACAGGGAGCCAGGAAAGGACCTTACAAAGGCCAGTGTGCGTTCCCATTGACAGGCTGGGAAACGGCTGGGAATGGAGGGAAGCATGGAAACGGAGACGGAAAATCATCCCAAACCGCTGCAGCCTCTCAGTGAGAAAGGCAGGCCAGCAGGATCTCAGGCGACAATGCGAGAAACACGGAGGCGGTGAAACTGGAAGGCGTCTAGACCAAGTGGATGTGTAGGGGCCGCACACACGCTCCTGGCAGGGAACTTTGCCCGCACTTTACTGAAAAGTGCTCTCAGACCATCAGTCTCCCCAATCTGGCCCCTGCAGAAATGGCACCATCTTTCTCCAGTTCTCCCACCCTATCACTCTCTGCCTCATTAACCTATTCTATCTTCTTCAAAACACATATCTGTATCTCAAGTGCTACTATTGTTCACCTGTTTGTCATGTCTCCCCCTCCCGGTCACTGATGTGTCCCCAACACCTAGGACAGTGCCTGGCAGAACAGGGGCTCAGTGTACAGGGTGGATCAAAAGTAGGTTTACAAGTTGCGAGTATGTGAAGCACAATTTATTCTTTCATTATTATTTTGGATTTCCGTACAAACAACTGTAAACCTGACTTTTCCCCTAACCCAATGGGCGGCAAACTGCGGCTCGCGAGCCACATGTGGCTCGCGAGCCGCAGTTTGCTGACCACGGCCCTAACCTATAGATTTCTAAACAAAGGAATGAAAAGAAAGACTAAACCATGTACCCAAGCCTCAATAAATGTGGAGGAACAAACAGGTATTCAACCAAACAGCACAACTGTGTCTGGTAATGGCAGCGGCAGGGAGAAGGGGGAGGCCTGGCTCGGTGGCTGGGCCCTAAAGGAAGAGCAGAGCTCAAAGATGGGAAGGCTCGCTCTGAGAGCATCGAAGGGCAGCAAGAGAATGCAACCTCTATTTCAAGGGCCTGGGAAAAGAAATAGGCTCTACTGGGCTGTCTTCAGGGGAAGCCTTGTTTCAGGAGCAGAGGTAAGCAGGAGAGAACGTTCTGGGTGTCGGGGTCGTTGTTTACATGGGCTGAGGGTACCAAAGGGGAGTTGTTTGGGGGAGGACAACGGTGGCCAACAAATCCAGCAGCAACACGTGGGTTCAGAAAAGGACGAGGCAGGTGGCAGACCCCTTTCTCCCCACCCAGAAGTCTACTGTACTGTCTGCTTACCATCTGAGGCCTCTGTCTCCTTCTTTGCAGTATCCATGGCTTCCTCATGATCGTCATCTTCCTCGTCTTCCTCCTCCTCCTCCTCCTCCTCAAGGAAAGGGATAAACAGGGACTAACAGGAAAGGGCAACTGGTCCTCTCAAAGGCACAGCCGCCTGGTTCCAGCCCACAGGGAAGTGGCCATGGGCACAGGAACACAGGAAGTGGGCTCCTGGCAGGGCCCGGGTGCCCTGGCTCCTCACCTTCTCCGAGGAGGACTCCTGGGATGCCTCCTCCCCCTCGCTGTCCAGAGCAAAGGACTTGCGGTGCTTGCCCGGGGTCTTGCTTCGCTCTTCATCTCGCTTTTGGGGCTTGGTCCCTGGACGTCCTGACTCTGCAGCCTCCTTCTCTCGCTCAGGGTCTAGGCCCAGATGAGTGTAGTTAGGACAACGTGCCACCAGCAGTAAGTTACCACTGCTCGGCCCTGTGAAAGGAGCTGCGCATACACTGTCGCCGATCTCCCCCAGGCCCACAAGACAGACCTTGTTTTATAGACAAGAAGTTGAAGTTTCGCACAAACCCTCAGCAATGCCTTATATTTTACAGTTTTAAACATATCACACTCATTTTATCTTCACTGTTTTCTGGGTTGGGCAGATGCCCGGCCCAAGAAAATACTGCTAAGGCCAATGGGCTTCCAGGCAAGCAGATCAGACTCAATTAGGAAGTTTTCCAGACACAAACTGTCAACCAATAGCTTAAACTTAGGCAAATTGGTAAGCAGGCATACAAGAGCTTAACCTATTTAACCTTGAAATTCTGTTATCTTTAGATGTGAAAGTTATTATTTCTATTTTATAAAAGGAAAATTAAAATACAGAAAACTTAAATCAACATACCAGTGTAAAAACCGTAACTAAAATCCAGGACTGTCCCATCTGAAGCTTTTCACATCTCTCAAAACTGCTTTATTTTAACCTTTTACCAAAATCTCCACCTGGCTCTTTGCCTGTAAGACACCTTCATCCCTGCCTCTTGCTTTCCTTATCAGAATCTAAATAACCTTTCCCCTTTCTCCTTTTCCCCGACCTTCCCACTCACCATCTTCATCTTCCTCAGCGGGAGTGGAAGGCCGCGGCCTCTTTTCCTCGCTGGCCTCGGAAATTTCTGAAGGCTCTTTTCGTTTTACCTGCGGGATGGGGAGAGACGGAGCCGTTTAGACCTCAGACACTCCCTGTACCCAAGGAGGGGGCTGCCCCGTCCCCACCCTCCCAGGCAAGATCAGTCCTGGTACCTTGAAAGAAGGCAGCCGCAGGGCCCCCCGCAGCCCTGACCCGAAGGCGAAGGCCTCGATGCCTGTGGTGCCCCCACTCTTCGCCCAGTCCACGAGGGACAGCAGGCCTGGCTCTCTGAGCTTCGTCTTCTCTTTATCTTCCTCCTTGGCGTGCTGTTTGGCTGCGTTCTGGAATGGCTGCAGGCGGGAGCGGGGCTGAGCCTCAGAACCCAGGTGCTCCCTCCTGCCCCCTGCCTGGACTACGCCCAGGCCGCAGGAAAGGAGAACAGCATCTACCGCTCCTCCCTCTGATGCACATCTGTGCCCCCACCCCTGCACCAGCCCCTGCAGAGCACTTCCTCACAAGCCTGCTCACTCCGTCCCAGCCATCCTAGGAAGCAGCTCCTGTCCTTCCCACTCTACACACGAAGCCTGAAGCCCACAGATGCTGACGGGCTTGTCCCCTGCAAGGAGGCAGTGGAGCCAGGACACAGTTCTTCAGGCTCTTAGGCTCCTGCTTCCCTACTGCTCTCTGCGCCCCAATCCCGTCCAACCAGAGTCCCAGTCTTGTCTACGAGCCTGGCCCTCCTCCCATCTGGAGCTGGTGGAGCCCCAGGCTTCCCTAGTCCCAGGCACCGGCCCTCACCTTGGCCTTCTCTTCCTTGCTCTCCCACCACTGGTCAAAGGCGCCGAAGGCCACGTTTTCCACCATCTTGCGGTTGAGGTCTCGCTGCATGATGCTCTTCATCTCCTGGACGAGGGTGGCCAGCACGCGGCCCACGGTGCCCGCTGCCGGCAGGGCCTTGCCCTCTGCCAGCTCTGCTTCCTCCCTTGGTGGTAGTCGGGCCTCCTCTCCCGAGACTGAGGAGGGCAGGGGCTCAGCTGCCACGGGCAAAGGCAGGTGGTAAGCCTCCCGGGAATAGGCCCCTCGGCCTTCTTGCCCTTGTGTGTACAGAGCATAGGGCAAGCCGTAGGCCGCCTCCTGTGGGGGTGGGAATGGGAGGAAGGCCTCCCCAAAGGCCCCACCGTGGGGACCAGCCGAGGCAGCAGTCAATCCCTTGCCCTGCCGCAGCTGGTGGAGCCGAGTTAACATCTGGGTCTGCATCTGGAAGGACATGGGCATTCCTCCCCACTGAGCCCCAAGTCGATCCATGAGCTCTAGGGAGTTCACAAAGTCATAGATGTGGGGGGGCGGTGGAGGAGGCGGGGGGTACTCAGGGGGCGGTGGCCCATCAGTCGGAGATCTCCATGTCCTCTCCAGAAGAGCATGGAGACGCCTGTAGGGGTGCAAAGGAGGGTCACAGAAAGCTGCTGCCTGTTCCCTGGGCTTTTCCTCAAGTCCGTTCTCGGCTAGTTCCCTTCCCTCTCCCCCTGGGCTCAACCCTGCCTCCCTGATCCCAGGTACCCCCGCTGGTTGACCCCAACCTCACCTGGTTCTGTCCGTTGGCCTTGGGAGACTCCCGGGTCGCCCCTGGCTCCCCACTCCCTGTAGGTGCCACGTCCTCAAAGTTAGCTGGGGCTGGAGGCGGCGTGCAGGGCCCGTGCCCTGAGCCAGAAGGCACCTCGATCCCTGTGTCTCTCGCCCCAGGGCCTGTGGCAGAGTTCTCTTCCTCCTCCTCCGTGTCAGAGGCCAGGAAAGAAAACTTGGAGCGCTGCTCCTTCAGCAACATCTCAATGCGGGAATCCAGGCTGCTGTGCTGAGCGAAGGGCACACTCTCGTTGGTGGTTTCTGGGGCTGGGGATCCGGAACGGGCAGGTGAGGCCGGGCGGGGGGAGGTCCGAGTTTCTTCTCCCTCAGGGCTGGGCCCCCCGGCACCACCGCCGCCTCCACCCGGTTCTGGAGGCTCTGGGGGCGGGGCCTCTGAGGCGGGAGGCCGGTAGTCCTGGTCGGCGGGGCGGCTGGGCTCGGGGGGCAAATAGGAGGTGTAGGAAGGCGGGAAGCGCTCAGCTGTATTTTCAGCAAAAGGTGCCCCCGGGGGCTCCTCCCGAGTTGCCCGGCGGGGCGGGTAGGAAGAATGGCGTTGGTAGCGACTCCAGCTTTCGTAATATGCTGGGTAGTTGGAGTCAGAACCACGAAAATGAGAGGATGAGGACGAAGTGGACGAGGAGGACGAGGACAAGGAGGAGGAAGAGGGGGCGGAGGTGGCGGTGGCTGCAGTGGTGGCAGAGATGGCTGCAGAGGTGGTCGTGGGGGCTGAAGACGCAGAGAAGTGGCGGCGGGAAAAGGAATCTTGGTAGCTGTTCTCGGACCGCCGGGGCTTGAAGGAGGTTGAAGTGGTGCTGGAGAGAAGATGCAGGAGTTAGCTGGGTTCAGTGTGTGACCAGCCCTAGGGTCCCAACTCTCAGCCCCGAGCCCTTCTACGCTGTCCCGAAAGGAAGATCTAAACCAGGGGTCCCCAAACTTTTTAAACAGGGGGCCAGTTCACTGTCCCTCAGACCGCTGGAGGGCCGGGCTATAGTTTAAAAAAAAACTAGTCGGCTGCTAAGCAACAGGCAGCGGCGGCAAAAACACCCGGCGGGCCGGATAAATGTTTTCGGGGGGCCGCATGTGGCCCGCGGGCCGCAGTTTGAGGACCCCGATCTAAATGCTATTGGGCTCCTAGCTAGAGTGAGTTCCCTGAGAACAGGGATTTGTTGGCTAAATCCACAGACAAACTAGGACAAATTCTTCCCAACTCCCTTTTCGACTTCGTTTCTTCTTTCCAGTGGCAGCTCCCAGAATCTGGGGGTCCCAAAGGGTGTTTACTCTGGTACCTGCTGGAGTAGGCAGAGTCCTGAGAGTAGGGAGTGCTGCCCCGAGACGTGTAGGGGGTTCCTTGGGAGGACTGAGGGGTGAACTGGCCGAAGGAAGATGGGGTGTCTTGTCGGCTGCTGGAGAAGCTTGTGTCCTGGGAGCAGGGGGTGCCATTGCCAGGAGTGCCCACCACAGCAGTGCCTGCTGGGTAGGCAGCTGTGTCAGAGGAGGCGCGGCGGCGGGACTCAGTCTGGAGGGAGAGAGTGGAGCAGGAAGAAAGGAAAAGAGATCAATTACCACTTAACAATTCACCCTTCCCCAACTGAGAATCCCAGTTGCCTGTCATTTGAAAGCATCTAGGCTCTTTTCTTGGCTCTTCCTATACTTAGCAGTGAAGTCCAGAGCCTCCCAAAGCCTGGTCCCGGCACTCAAGGACTGTGCCCATGTGGCTAGGGCTGTGGCAACCACAAGCTTCTCACCGTCTCAGTGGCCGCACCAGGGCCCTGGAACTTCTCACTCAGGGCCTTGCCCCCAGTGGGCACCGTCTGAGGGGTGTAGGAGCCATTGACAATCAGCTCATAGTACTTCATTCGTTGTTGTCCTAGAGGGAGAGAAATGGGAACCAACGGAGTCAGAGAGAGAAAACAACTCCTTCCTAATATGGCTTTCCACTTATTCCTCAGGCCGCAAGTTGATCTTGGGTTTGGGGACTTCAATTCTTCCCTATCTCTGTATCTGGGACGTTCTGCCTCATCTCCACGTAACAGCTACTACAGACGACACACAGTACAACGCTTCACAGTTTCTTCCACACGTTACCACACTGAACGATCACCAGAAGGGAAAGCATCAGCACACCTACTTCACAGGTTTAAAGAAAACTGACCTGCACAAAGTCAGTTAGTAGCAGAACTCAAATTCAGACCCAGCTTGTCTAATGCTAGATCCTATCGTATTCTTCATCCTATAAACTGAGGGCTGCAAAAATCAACTTTTATTTGCCTTACATAATCACTTAAAACTATTTTGGGGGGTGGGGGGATGTAACATTTTTAAATCATGAGATGATACAAAAACCTTGATTTCTTGCTTTAAAATAAAAAAACCACACAGATTACTTGGCAATATTAGTCCTCATTCCCACTTGCACATTGGCTAATGCCAACTAACCGCTGTCTCCTTTAGATGGCACTGTGCTACCGCACGCCACAACCCTGCCCTACGTTCCTAACAGACTGCTTCCTTCACTTACCTACCAGTATACATGCAGGTCTCTAGTTCTCCATCCAAAGTTTCAAAGCCTAGTATTGTGGGGAATTTAGTGTCAAAACCTGACCTGAGCTGAAGCTATTTAGTCTAGTTTGTGTTTTAATCCTCACCTGAGGATATAGTTGCCATTGATTTTTTCAAAGAGAGTGAAAGACAGGGGAGAGGGAGAAAGAGAAAGGTAGGAAGGGAGAAAGATAGACAGATAGGTAGATAGACAGACAGATAGTCATCGATGTGAGAGAGATACGTCGATTGGTTGCCTCCCACAAACGCCCTGCAACTGAGATACATGCCATTGACCGGTAATCAAGCTGAGACCCTTCCGCTGAGCTGAACCAGCCAGGGCTATTTACTCTAGTTTTTCTTTGTCCAACCTAGTGTGACCCTGCATGCACTTTCTTACAAAAACAGTCATATGCCGGTGCAGCCCAAATGATGCCGAATACACACAAAAAACACGTGTACCACAATCCGTTTGTAAATTCTGATTTCAGAAACCCATCCGGCCCCAAGAGTTTCCAATGAGGAATCGTGAACCTGATCACACAGCTCACCCCATCGCATGTCCGATCTCTGCCAGAGCCCAGCCTGGCAGCAGGCGGGGGCCCTCACCTTTGATGTCGAGCTGGGCGTGGATGATGTTGCCCATGACGGAGGTGAGGTGGAGGTTTTTGACCGTCTCCTTGGCCCCCCGCGTGCTGGTGAAGAGCACGCGGGCCAGGCCCAGGTGCTTGCGCGTGCGGGGGTGCAGAAGGATCTCCACCTCCTCCACCTCGCCGTACTTCCGGCACATGTCCTTCAGGAAGGCCTCCCGCACGTTGTCGTTCAGTCTGGCAAACGTCACTTCCTTCAGCGGGATCTGCCCGATATAGAACTCATCCAGCTGTGGGGGGGACAAGCGCGAAGTCCGGGGTCGGAATACTTTTCTCTTTGGGAAACTAGAGAGACCCATGAGATCGAGAGAGAGAGGGATGGAAAACACAGGTGCAAGGGCAGGGGACCCCAACAAGGGATACATCAGTCTCAACTCCTCTCTCTCTCGAGTTCTTTCACCACAGAATAATGGCAAGAACCAGGAAAAGAAAGGTATGAACTGAGAAATAAACACACATGGAAGAAACCAGATGTCAAGAAATCTCACTAACTCCGCTTTTACTAAGTAATTACCACGGACCGGGCACTAGGAACAGAGAGATGAAAAAACAAAAAGGAGATTCCTGGTCAGAAAATAGACAAGACAGAGACACATACAATCATGCCGTGGCGGTGCGTGTCGGCAGAGGGGTACAGAGTGCGCCTGGGGGTCCAGAGAGGACCAGGGAAGCACTCATACAGATGGTGTCATTCGTACTGGGCTTTTGGGATAAACGGGAGTTCACCAAAATTACAAGGACTTATGAAATAACTTAGCATTTCCTAGAAACCGAGGACTGTATAGAGGATGGAACACAGGTGAGCAGCATCACGGCAGGAGCTGAGGCGTGACCAGCTCAATAATCATAAATGTCAATGCACAAAAACATGGACTTGGCAGCAAAAGTAAAATAAGAGGATAGTAAAATTACAGCGACAATGACAGCAGGTGGAACATGAAATGAAGAGAATGGAAGCAAGGAAACCAGGTGAGATGAATACAGGAGTATGTGTGAAAGATACAGCAACGGAAATAGAATAATTCAGACAAAATGGTTTAGGAAAAAGGATCGCAGAACTTTGTGACAGACTATGCGGCAGATAAAGGAGAGGAGGACCCTAGGGTGACTGCCAGGTTTCAAGCTTGTGCAGCTAAGTAGGTGGGGCGAGCGCAGGATCAAAGGGGTGAAGATCATTTGCTTGCGGAGTCTCGAACCCGAGATGTCTGTGGGGCCTCCAGATGGAGCTTCCCACTACCTGGCATACACGTTTGGAGTTCGAGACTGACCTTGGCTAGAAACAGACTTAGGAGTCATGCACATTTTGGTAATAGTCAAAATCATGGATGCAAAAAAGATTGTCCAGGGAAAGTGCACAAAGTGAAAAAAGGGGTGAGGGACCCCACAAATGATTTATTTAAAAGTGAAGAAGAAAGTATTAGTGAGGAGAACCAAGAGCCACCCAAGGCCCGATGAGCATCCTGCGTGGACAGAGACATGGCAATCCTCTGACACAAGGTGGAGGATCAAATGGCCAAAGGAGAGGGGAGGAACAGGACTCCCGGGATGGAGCCCCTGGCCTGATCACCCCCTTATTTGTTGGGAAACTGGGGTATCAGGCCAGAGCACTGTCCAGGAATACATATGCTGTCCAGGAATACATAGTGGTAAGTACAGCAGCTAAACACGTCTGGATGTCATTCCAGGAGTCAGCCCCCGGCTTGGGACACCTCACCCACGCCTTTCTGGAAGGAAAATAGATTTCCTGTCCAGAACAACTCAGTCCCACAGCCGCATAGACGGTCAGACCGGCCGTGATCCTGTCACTGGGAAACTCTCTTATTCAGCGACATTAAGACGAGACGGCCAGGATGGGGCCTCCACTCCCTCCCAGGGCCCCCACCCCACAGCACCAGCATACACGTACCTTAAACTTAGGGACCGGGAGGGAAAAGTCTCTGCTTTTGGACCTGACATGGCAGCGGGGGTCTTGCAGGTCTTCGACTGGAATATACTTTGAGTCCTAGGAAGGAAAGCAGGAACAGAAAGACAGCTCAAGGTGAAACCACACGGCTGAGCCCTAAGCCATTTGGAGACCCATATGCAAAGGAGCTGGGTTCTGGTGAACCCCTTTTTCGGAGGCAGGCTCTGGCCATGGGAGTGCTGGGCGCAGAGCAGCCCCCAGGAGAAGGGGCCTGGGGGCTCCCGGGGCCGGAAGGGCCTGGGCACTCACGTTGACACTGAAGTGGACCCCATCGTAGCGGTACACCTTCTGAGAAGGCCTGCGCAGGGCAGGGTCCAGGGCAGGATCCACGATGAGCTTGTAGTTGCGCCATTGGAAGCTCGGGGTCTTCTGCCCGTCTCCCCCACCTTCTTGATCCATCTTTGCTCATTTACACTGTGACGAGAGGAATCCGCAAGGGGGTTCAGCTCGGGGGGCCCGACTACCTTACTGCCCTCACCGCCTAGCTCCGACTCCAGGCTCGCTCATCACCCCGGGGTCCGCACCTCACCAGGACCCGTGGCTCCCCCGGATTTTCCAAGTACACTCTCCCACCATAACCACACATTCTCTCCACCTCCCAACTCTTGCCCTCAGCCCATCAGGCCCATCTCGTGCCCCCAGCTCTACCCAGCGCGCGCCCCCCTTGCCCTCCGAGCAAGACCC